AAAGCAGAGAACAGACCAGATTCCATATTACTACCATAGTACACTTAATAATTTATATTGAACTTTCCAATTTCAAAGGAACCGTGCTGAAATACTGTAACACTACATATGGAAATGTTCTTTCTAGGAAAAGGTTTGCCCTTTCTGTCCCTTTTAAATTGTTCCGTATTAAGATGTCATGAATTCATACCATAAAAAAACCCCAATGGTCTCACACTTTTTCCAATTGTAGATGAAAAATATTTAGTAAAGCTGTTTTTCTACTAAATGTAATAGTAAAGCTCCCTCTGCTGGAAATTTCAGTGCAAGAAAGCAACACCTTCTCGGGATCTTTAAAAAGTAAATCAAGAAGTAAGAATTTTTCTGTGACATTTAGACTTTCTGGATAAGAATCAAGAAACTACTCCTGAAAGACAGGAGCTTTCTCTAAGTGAACTAAAGTCTCATCTCAGCCATATTAACAGCATCCAGAAGAGAAAGAACACAAGTCCTATCTCGGCCTTGAGGAAGGAACTGCTGCCTCCGTAGCAGCAACCCATGAGAAGGCCCCGTGAAGGATGAAGAGAAATGGTTTCAGAGCTTGCACAGAAGCCAATGGCTTCACTGTTCCAAGTGGCCTCCAGCAGCTGAGTGCTGGGACTGCTTCTCCTTTACTTCCTACATTTTCTTTTTTGGAAGAACAGGGATATTTCCCTGTAACTGTGTATCTTCCACCTTTGCAGGCACCTTCTGGAGTACATAACAGTTCTTTAATCTCCACGACCATTGTCACTATAAATAAAAGAGTCCTAGGCAAAAATCTATATAGCTTTCAGATTATTTTTTTTTTAACACATGCTATTTGCTGAAAGAACTGAGTGATCTCCAAGAGTGTTTTTAAGATTCATGCATTGCTTGCTATGTACTTAAGGCTATAGACAAAGTTAAAAATCCACAGAAGAAAAACAGAAACAGACAGGTATGCTTATATCTCTCCACATAGATTCATTTCCCTTGAACATTATTATTATTATTATTATTACTACTACTACTATTATGCCAATGGGCTATTCACTTTTACAATAGCTTTATTTTTAAATAGCTTATGCTGAAAAATGTCACTGTAAAAATCAGCTGTCGACACAATACTCAGTTTTACAAGAGCTAGTAACTGGATTTGGAGATTTCAGTATAAATAGTGTACAGACTTAAGAATGGTTTGAAAAATCTAGATAATCCTGTATGGTTTGAACAGTCAGTTCTGTCATGAAAAGGCAGAGCTTTTTCATCCTTTTCATTCTCTGTCAAAAGGGTATCTTGACTTTCTTTTCTTTTTAAAAGACCTTGAGACAGAAGAAGAAAAATCCAACATTTTACATACTAACGCACTAATGTGCTGTATTGTTATGTCAAACGATCTATTCTCGAAGGAGTACTTCACTTTTTCCTTTGAAGAGATATCTTTGCTTTCCCTCCCTTCAGAGAATAAAAGGAGGTAATATCTCCTTTTATAGAGAGGATTATTCCCAGAGGATCTGTCATCATCTGAAAAAATGGAAGATATTAAGGCCACTCCCAATCACCTGTTTCTTCTCCAATTTCCAAATTCACAAGTTATTGTTATTCTACTTTTTTAAAAGCTTTATTGAAAAAGTACGCAAATTGGGATTGCTGCTCTCTCATATTTCTTTTTAAAGTGATGATACCAACAGCTTTCATTTTCAGTAGGAAGCATTTGCAAACATTGTGGGTAGTGGATGCATTTTTTTTAGTCTCGGAGAGAAATCATCTGGGATGAGGATATGATCTTTTTGAACTGGCTGACAGACTGTCATGAAGTGAATAGGTTTGTGCTGCTACAGTGAGAGAAAGCTTTTGCATGACAGAATTTTTAAATGCGATTCTGTTTATTCTCTAGAACAACTGCAAATTTTAAAGGCAGAAGTAACAATGAGACTTGTAAAGAAGCTGGTTTCCAATACCATATTCAACATTTCTAAAACTTTGTATCTTTAAAATTTTTCTTCCAAATCATTGCTCTCAACAGTTTAATTTTTTGTTCTCTGGGAAAAACATTGAGTTTCCCATTTTGGAGTTTCAGAGAAAAAAAATCAATTATTTCAATATATACTTTCTACCACTTACTCTGATACTTGCTGGAGAGATTCCAAACAGTAGTTTGATTTAATAACCCAGATAACAGTGGTTCTTACCATACAAAATTGCCAATAGAATAGATAAGACAGTCATAAAAAAGAAATCAAATGAAGTGCTTTGGAACAGACTAATTATGTATGAGAGTCAGGAAGAAACTTGCCTCGTACTCAGTAAGATAACTGGATTATGCTTGCTTCTAATTTGATAAACCCTAAGTAGAACTGATGACAAGAAATGAGCCAAGATGTGCAACAGTTTCTCCATATGACATTTTCTCCTATCCTATTCCTATGTTAAATGAAATAGATGAAACAGGGGAATATACAATAGTCAGACACTCCTTATTTTTTAAGACTGAAATGACACACCCTGAAAAACTGGAAAGACCCCGAAAAGATGAAAACTGTATATATTGTGTTACTAAAGCCAAGCAGTACCCATTTTCACGGAAGATGATACATGAAATTCAGAATTTCTTCAAAATTGTATTACTTTCTTAATTTAGGAAAATGAGCTTAAAAGAGGTATAAATGTTTCTGCTCCTCTTTAAAGATATAACCCTCATCAGAATTCTCAATTTGTAGTCAGGCCACTTCATCTCAAGATGCAACTTCAGTACTGATTTCAAGTTAAGTTTCTAGTGCAAAGCCTATAATGCATGTATGCTACACTCACCTTTTAAACGATTACAGTGTCCAAATCTATCTCCTTTTCCAGTTTTTTCCCCAAATTTTGTTTTGAGTCAGAAAAATGTCTGTATGTCAACACTCTGGACAAAGTATCTTTCACTTGAGACAGTATTTCCGTTATCCTCTACGCTTTTGTTCGAAGTGTCTTAGGCAGACATTCATAGCTGTAGCCTATTTATTAATAGCTGAATCACATTGAAAAATATCTATCATCTGACCTTTCACTCTTATCACAACAACTATTAATCTTTAGGCAAATGTATTTTGTTGGAGGCTATTGTTTTCCCCTTCTCTTGACTCAACTGGATCTTCTGGCACTCAACATTTGGATAATCGACTGCCAGCTAAGCCAGCACTGAATTTCTTATTTGCCTTCTACAAAATCTATTTCCATAAGTAAGTAAATCTTACATATTAAGACACTGACTTACTATGGTGTTTTCTTCATTGTATTTGTTTTTTGGCATTTATATTTTTGCCTCTTTGTTCTAGCTCTTGTATAGATTTCACTATAATGCTGATGTCATCCAGGTCTACAACCTCCTACTAAATCTCCATAACAGTCATTTGTTATAATGAAATTTTATCACATGAAATACCATTAAAACAAAATATCTATTGGTTGGCTTCAGATTTATGGTTAAAAAAATAATCAACAATGATAATCAAATTCTTTCTGCAGAACTTCACTTTATAACCCATAAAATAATACTACGATTTATATATTTGCTGGCCCCAAATTTATGGTAATTTTTTTCCTAATAATGATAATCTGATTTCATGTAAAGAAATTTATTTTATGACATAGAATACTGCCAGGGCAAGACTGTATGTTGGTGGAAGAAGAGAGACAAAGGCATTGAAATGTAGACAAATATTTGCATTATTTCCTGGATTGGCTACTGTTATTTCCTCTTTATAGTTTTCCCAAAGGAGTTTTAACCTCACCAGAATCTTGCAGCTTGACTCATCATTACTCATAACCTTTCCCAGCACATTACTTCCACCTTTACGCTCTCCGGTGGTTTACAGTACAATACCACATCATATTACTTACAATTTCAGCCAGATTTTCAATTTATATTTTAGAAATTTTGGTTACATAACCTTGAAGGCACTCCACCAGATTAACAAGAGATGGCTTTAGCATTTTCAAAATACAAATTTAAGGATTGATATCTATACATCCTACTTGTTTTTATAGTTTTTGCATTTTGGTAGGAGATTAATTACAGGCATATTATACAGCTGTGGAATTCATTACAAGCCGAAGCTGGTATTTTTTTAAATCATCTGTGGGTAAAGTCCAGCTCCCCTTTCCTGCTTCTATACTACTATAGGTCAGGATAGAACTTGTGGAATTAAAGAGCAAGCAATGCTTTGCATATGTCTCTTTGAAAAGCTAATTTACCATTGGCACACAACTATTTAATAGTACAGTAATATACACCATATTTCATCTTCCAAGTACTATACATACAACCCTGTGAACTAATATGTAACAGTTGTATTTGCTGATTTTCCTATCTTGTACGATATGTTGAATGTCTGTATCTGTACTAGTTTTATATGTATGCTAAAGATTCTGCTCAAAGTCACAGGCAAATTCTGTATCACAACAAGAGATATTTAATCCATTTAGGCATCCAGTAGATTGTGCATCTCAATTAAGTGACTTCCTAAATCCCTTCCTAAATATCCCGGGTCATTTAAATTTACTACAGAACGGAAGCTTTTCTCTAAAATTTCCCCCCTCACACCACTACCACTTTCAAGCTCCTTAGAGGAAAGAAACATCAATCATCCGTGTTGCACTAGGAGCTACTGGCTTGTCACAATTCCAGTAAGAAAGGCACTCAGACTCTGTTAAGTATCTCTTAAAATGCTATTTATTGGAGCTAAGGCTATAAAGAAAAAGAAGATAGTATCAATAATCTCATATCTCTTCAGATGCTGGGAATCCCAAGCTATGTGGAATTGAACAGGCCTCCAGCCAGGATCATGCTACGCAGATCCCATCCATGTAAGGTTTCCCCATTTTGGTCATTTGAGCCCTTAAAGGATTTTCTTACAAGCAAAACAACTATTCAGCATTTATACTGTCAAATAAAAAGGACATTCACATGGGAACTTGCTGCTGAAGTTTTAGATAAAGGCAAGGACACGCAGGTGGTGTAACCACTGGTACCAAGCAGGAGCTGCCTGTGAGCTCCCGTTACGATTAGCTGGCAAAGTTTATCCTGCAGCGAAGCGATGTGTGCAGCACAGCCCTGAACGTCAAACGATATGCACAGCATGGCACAGCACAGCACAGGCCTGCACTTAGGTTAACTGTTATGAGGATTTCTACCTCCTTAATGTACAGTGGTCCTCCAGTTAGGATCACTACAGCATCTTACATTTCAGTGGGATGTAAATTCTTTAAAGTAAATTGATTTTACTGATTACATTATAGGGCTGTAAAAAGAAGCGAGTTAAATCGCATACCTGTCAGCACCACTGTGTGCTCTCCACCACAAGCAACCTTATTAACCTTTTCCATAATTCCCAGTACAGGCTGTGGGACTCTATTGTTCTTCAGCTGTTCAGGCAGTAATCCCAGTTTCCCATTCTCAGGTTCTCCAAAAGTATAGAGCTCACCATCGCCTGTGAAAATACAGAACAGAGCAGGATTTCCAGCATGCACTCAGAAACAAGGATGGGTTTTCGAGACTGCTGCAGACACAAACCAGTAAGATAGAAAAGTGTATGAACATTACAGGATAATTGAACATATTTGTATAATGTCCAAATAGCTGTGCAAAGCAGTCTGCTTTGATGGGACAAGAAGGGGCTAAATTTTAGCCCCCTCCAAGATGAGAACTGCAATATTTAGCCCACAAGGAATCTAGCCAAGGGAAAAACAAAACCATATACATCCTGCTTCTGAGAGGTTATAATTCCCTCTGTAATCAGTATTTATGCCAACCGAAGGTGTTTGTAAGAATCTCAATTAAAATAGAAAATCGTTTTGCATGGAATTTTGATAGAAAATCCACACTTTCTTCCTGTAAGATACAGCGAAGAAAAGAAAAAAGCAGAGTAAATGACATGAAACTGTGTGTGGTCTGGATAGCAAGAAAAGAGCTATATTCAACAACAGAAATACATCAGTGGTTCCATAGCAATAACTCCACCAGAATTAAGTTCAAAAAAATACTGAGAGGTCTTTACAGATCTCTTCCTGTAACTTCTTTCTGATTTGCTACATAATCATACAAGAAGACCCTGTCATTCACCCAGACTTTTTAAGAATCCAGTTCAAAAACTGTTCAATCCCAAATTTGGGTAATTCATTGTATTTACAAGTTTCCTTTGTTTTATCTTTTCCAATCACTCCTTTTGCTTTTTCACCGCTATGTAAGTCTGAATTACCATCCAAGACAGCATTCTATATATCCTTCTACCACAGTTAAAACAGAACATGTAAAATGTACTTTCCATTGCTATATTTACAAATTATCCACATTTATCTACATCTTTTACATTTATCTACACTTTACAATTAACTACATCTTTTTTTTTACAATTTATCTACATTTACATTTCTGATTTTCTGTGGCCTCCAACTATTCTAACAAGTCAGAGTGAGGTTTAGGTAGAAAACATTTCCTTACTGCCAGGAAAGCTTCAAGTTAATAGCTGAGCGTTCTCCACTCCTGAAAAAGACTATCATCTGTGGAATAGTGTCCTCATGGCAAACTGTGGCCCACGATCTGAATTTGGAATTACTTGCCAAAAAAATCATCATACACTACTATGGAAGAAAAAGTTTGGGTTTTAATCCCAGTTGGATATAACGAAGCACAAGGATAAAAAAACTCTCACATGGAGCTAGTCCAAGATAAAGAAATGTTTAAACTAGTGTAGGAGCTGCCTGCTAAATGAAATCTGAAGAGATAGCTACAGTTATATAATCAACATAATAACAAACCCCAGACGTATACTCCATTATTAAAGCTCAGTCATCGGAAGCACCCATCTGCAATATTTTTGGAAACATTCAGATTTGTACTTCAGTACAAAATGTACTTTTACTTTCAGAGGGATACATTTCGTGTTCACAAATTTACTTTTACAGCATTTAGAGGCATTACTACTGCATGATGCACAAGTATCTGAGAGATTCTTATTGAAAAGCTATGAATTCCTTGCCGACGTGAAAGTTGGGTTAACCTCAGAAACGCTGGTCTTTCCCCACAGACAATGAAAACAGATGAGCTCAAAGAAAGTTTCAAAGCTGAAGCCTTGTTTAGGTGTTCAGAACTGAGCATTGGAGAAGTCCATCCCTCTCTCCACTGAACATAGGCAGAGCATAAGAAAACAAGCTTATTACTAGTCTTCTGTTAGCCTTTGTGAATATTCCCCCATTTGCATAGCTGCTACATTTGTTGCTTTTTCCTTGCGCTTTGTCAGCCACAACTTAAAATTTGGGAATTTAAGGACACTGGCAATGACCAAAAAAATAAGCCTACGCAGAAATAGGAAATACGGAAGAGCTAAAAGTAAATCTATGAATAAAAATGTGAAGTAGAAAAAATGAAGCTACATGTGCATTCTGAAAAGCAAATGAGGTTAGTCAAATTATCAAAACCAAGTTAATAAAAATTGAAGGATGTGATTCAAAATGAACTGAAGTTTATTAAAACTTGGGCATACCAAGCCAAGACAGGAAAGGAATTTTATCTTTTTGAATTTTTAATTGTGATTATGAGAAAGTCAAAACTGGTGTCAGTGAGAAATGTGTCATTTTTCTTGCATCTTCCTGAGCTTTACTCTGGCAATACACTCATTTAAAATTTCCTTTTGCATGAATAAAAACTGAGCAAGAATTTCAGGTTGCAAAACCACATCTTCATTTTGTGTAACTATGGGACAACTAGTTAGTAATACATTTTCATTCAACTCATCTGGTAAATCCAATAGATAAACTAGATTCAAAATGTTTTTCCTGGAAAACTCTTTTGCCAGCAATATATATTTTTTTTGCCAGCGATATATATTTTTTTTCCTTTGTGGCACTTGGCTCTTGATTACTTTGTACTAAAGAGTGACTACAGCAGTGCCAGGACCCTCCATCAGAAGGGCTTTGATTCATTCTGAAAACCCTTAAACTACTATGTCTTTTAATAAAGCAGTGCTTCTCCTCCCATCCTCTCAGAGGAAGTAATTCTGGAGCAGTCATGCTGATCTGTGATGTATGTTACCTTTGGTATCGACAGTCCACAATAAGCAAAAAGAAAAGGTCTAAATTATGATCTATGTTCTTCAAAGGAAGCCTGAGGATAGGTTTTCAATGAATTTTAACTATAGGGAGAATCTGAAGTATGTCTCTTATTTTACGGTAAAGTTCATTCAGGACAAAAAAAAAAAAAAAGAGGTTATGCATTTTTTAAGATACCTCAGCTTCAAATTAATTTAAATAAATTTATCAATTAACTTAAAAATTCTGAAAAAAATGTATGACATAGTCAAAGAGCAAAAACTGTAAAAAGGACTTTTTTTCATAAAAGCTGAATTCCTGCTTTAAATGGAAAATGGGTCCTAAGCCTCAACATAAAGTTGCAACCCAGCACTTCCACCAAAGATTTAGAACCTAACTTTGATGGCACAATATTTATTTGTAAAGCTTACAAGACCTAAGAAATTTAGCCTCTGCCTTAGTCAAAGAAACGCCAGAATATTTTATAAGGTTTCAATATATTCCAAGATCACTTCTGCCTCTCACAATGGCACAGATTCTTCAAGTACCATGCTCCTGGGCCACTAAGGCTAGCAACTGGACTTACCCTCTTTACTGAATGGTCTAACTGCACAGAGGAGCCATCAGGGAATGACAATAATACAATCTCACTCAATGTCAATCTTCCTGCAGGGTTTCACAGGGCTCAGGCTATTAAGAGTAGCCACCCACAATCTACATTCTCTTGTGGCTGACAAAGTGCAAGGAAAGTTGCAAGACAATGAAACAGGATAGCAACTGTATTTCCCAACTATCGTCATCAGAGGTGTAACCCCATCCTCCCAGCTGTCCTTATTTTTTCTACCATTCTGACATTTTCTTTCCTGCACACACAAATTACACCAATAATATTATAACACTTCATTTACCTGCATGTATCTATGCAGAAATACCTTTGCTGCATTTTTCTACACTTCTAAGAAGTCATTTCAATCTGTCTGTGTTTTTTAAGAAACAGCAAATGATCTCAGCTGCAGAAAAGTATATTTCATTTCATTTCTAAATTATGGATTATGTTTAGGCTTCTCTTCAGTTTGATTTTCTGTTTTAATTCTGATCTTTATTCTTACACCTATGTGCAGAAATACTCTGAACAGGCTGATACTTTGCAGTTATTTGCAGCAGCATCAATTTTCTATTCTAAAACTGTAGCCCAATGAACAACAAAAAAATCAACTCCAATGTGAGGCTTTCTGTAACCAAAACATTCCATTGACAAAAAGAGATTTTATTAGGGATTCTAAGTGAAAAGAAACAAAAAAACCCAACAACAAAAAGAACCCTGTATTTTTTGGAAGAAACAAGCTGATAAACCCCCAAAAGCACTTGGGAGTTAACTACTTACGCAGCTCTCTTTGAAGAGACCAGCCCTTCTTTTTAAACACTACTGCACTGCAAATATTAATCCAATCACAATCTAATTAATAGGATTAGAGATTCAAATGGCCAAGCTTCCACTGACTTCCCAAACTAATCAAGTTTATTACATTTTTTCAACTTAATAATCCACCTAACAAAGATAAACCCATTTATCAAAGCAATTTTTGAATACATTACACATCCCTTTAAGGCAAATAGTAGGCTAAAAACTATGAAGAATAGCTATCAAGCACAAAAAGAATCCAGTCAAACCCAGGTAAATTGTGAGTACAGTATGTGTGCAGTACATCTGCATTTTAAGGACATTCTGTTCACAACGGAACCTGGTTGTTTCATTTTCTCATCTCATAAGAGTCACATTCTCATGTGTTGAACTTTCCCTAAAAAAAACTACTGTGGCACATTTTCTGAATCACTAAACTTTAGGTCACAGGAGCATGTCAAGGAAATGGGCAAGTGAGTGGAAAACTATCTTTGCCCCTCAAAGGCAAATCCACATACTGCAGATGAGAGAAGATATGAGATCTGGCTGGTGGCAAATGGGGGCAGCAGACAAAAGAATCGGATCACTCTATGATCCCTTATAATAAATGAAGAAAAAAAAAAAGAAGCATTTATTCAAGACCAAATTGGTTGAAACCACCTCAAATGTTGAAATTCTGAGCATAGAAGTGTTTGTCAAATGAATGATCTTTAAAACTGGTCCTTAAAAATAATGACAAAGTACATTAAAAAAGGGAATTCAAGGAACCCACAAAGCTCTCTATGAAAAGACATCTTCTCAGTGAGAATCTATCTTGACCTTTCTTATAGTAACAGTTCAGGCAAGGGAAACACCAGAAGAGGTCTAATATATTCAATTCCTTTCTGGCTCCACGAATGTAATTCTGCTTTAGACACAAGAGTACTGGTTAGATACACTGGCTTTTCCTGCTCTCCATCTCCTCCAGTGGACATGTGAGCTATATACGCTTGTCAAGCTTAATGCTTTCTGAAAAATTGTCCCCTCTTGACTGAGTGTGGTCAAAGACTAGTCAAGTAAAGATCTGTGTATGGACTCAAAATCTTTGCTACACTCCTTCAGCTCTTTCTTTCTCTGTTGCTTTGTTTGAGACATACCTCTAATATGGGGACCTAACGTCCTAAGTCTGCAAAAAGAAAGGAAAGGAAACAGATACTGGGAAAAAGTCCTAAAGAGGGCTGGAAACTATAAACTAAAAAATTATTGTCAGTGGAACTCTTTGAAGAATGCAAAGTGAGAGGAAAAGGGAGCAAACAATCATCTTTCAAACATGGAATAACCAGACCAGCTACCTATTTTGCATATGGAAATGAGCTATCCATTGCCTATGCTTGTGCCTAGTCTAAATTTCAGAAGTGTTTTTTATTAAAAATAATACAGGAGATACTATGTTCTTCTATTCTACAACTGCTTTTGGTGTCAGTGGGGCCCACGTGTACATGGCAGAATACAGGTGATTGATATGTTTAGTAGTTGAATTACCATCTGCAAAGAAGGCATTCTAAAAAGCAAAAGTTAGAAGGTGACAAATCACCCTTTTGGAGCTACTGGATTTGAGAAACTTCTAGGAGTGGAGGGAGGGTTGTAGAACTGAAGTATAAATTCAGATGATTGAATGCCGTGCAATTTCCATAAAACATGCTTTTATCTACTAAAGGTTTGCGTCAGGATTCCACTCTACTTTTCATTGACATTGCACTTGGTTTTATAGGAGTTAATCACCTTCAAGACAAACGCCTACTAAAATATCTTTTCTAAAACCAGCTGTTTCAAAGAAATAACAACTTTAGTTAAAAAAAAAAAAAAAAGGTGGAATCCATACTTCACCACTTTTTTTTCTCAATAGTCTCTTATTAATGAACATCCTGCCCTGGAGAGGGCACTCTGTGACCACACTATGTATTCCAGTATCTTCATTAACCACCTTTTAGTTTTAACCCAGATATGCCTGTGATCTTAACGGTTTGCTTAACCAGTATACAGCTTCTGTCAAACATAAATATATTAAGAAAGGGAACCATATGGTGCCATGCTCATCAGTTCAGCCCAGCAACATGTATCAAATCCTACATCCTGCAATTATGTTTTATTATTAAAGACACTATATTAGTTGATGCTTTTTTATGTACAAGTCATGTTAAAAAAGTCAAAATGTAGTAATTCTATAGTATCCTAGTAACTGATAAGTTACAGGTGTTGAAAGTTTTCTGTTAACAGTGTTTCTCCCATTTCTTCCATAGTAACAGCAACCACAATCTAAAAAAGTTCCTCTGGTATACTTCATTGATGTTGAGGGAATTAATACAGATTATACACTCACCTGAATAGTTCAAATTTCACTTCTGGAAATATAGAACCACTTTCTCTTCCAGAAATTTCCTCCAAAAGTATGTATTAAAAATAACACTAATCACTCAAAATTCTAGTACACAAGATAAAACCATACAATAAAAATACATGGAAAACTCCCTGTGCTAGGCAAACCTTTAAACATACTTCAAGGCATAATTCAATGACTAACTGGCAATTTGGGGGGAAAAAACCCTATCCCTGTAATATGAATATTCCAAATACTCCATAATTATCTAGTTTGCTGTGTTCTACCACCCCTCAGAGGCAGAATACTGAAGATGTGAACCACTGTTCTGATCCAGTCTAGCAAGTCCTACAGGCAAGTGTTTTCCATAAGTGAAAAAAGAATCCTAATAATACTAAAAGAGTCACCTTTTTTAAGCAAAATCTTTTAACAGCGTAGTGCCTTGAATTCCTTCCTAACTAGGCTGTAAGAGAAATACAGTATCTACATTTGTACTCAAACAGACTCAACTTGCAGAACTTCCAAATTCATAATTTAATGGCTAACTTCATCGCTAAAATAATGTGTGATCATGGTACACTTAGATTAAATGCATAAGCTTTGTTTTAAACACTGTCTGGATATACACTGACACTAGCACAACAGAAGATTGATTCAGTAAAAGTACCTGGATGTCCAACACTAAATTTCTATGGTAGTTAAAGTATCAGTCAAATAAAATTGTCAGCAAGGGCCCAAAGGAAAAGAACAAAAAAAAATTCCTCCTTTCACCACAGAAGAGGCCATCCGTGTGTCAGTAGTTTCAGCAAGACAGATTGAAGCCCACTTTGTGCAGGATTTGCAGATACTAAGGCTGAAAACTAAGATTTTCCATCTCACATCCAGGCCTGTTTAAACAGTAAGAGGTTCAACAACTCCCCATTTTCACAGCTGATAACCAGTTCATCTTATTAGTATTTTAAGAGGCTCCATTTCTCTTACCCAGCTGCTACCCTAATCCTTTTTTCTGACCCTGCTCCATTAAAAGTTTCCACTTCCTTAGAGGACCTGGCACACACTGTGCTCTCCTTGCTCTTAGATGCTTGTCCTCAACCCTTCTTCTAATGAGAGCTTTTCTCACATCCCACTGCAGTCTTGTCAGAGCTTCAGCTCTTGTCTCTAAGGCAGAAATACACACCTTCTTACTATATCCTTTAAGTAAGGATCTTTTTTTTTTTTTTTCCCCATTTATTTTGAGTTCAGGAAGCTGTAGACTTCCTAACAGGTGCTGAGCTCCTCATCAGTCAAAGGCACTTTGTTCATTTACTGTAATAAAGCATCTGTAATAAAAGTTGCACACTACCAGTATAACACCTAATTAGTATTTGTCCACCATAAGACATTCTCATTCTGTTAACAGCATATTCTCAGAGAGCTAAATATTGTATGTGGCAAAGTAACATTTATCAAGTAACCTGAGAAAAGTATCTGGTGGAATAGTTCCTGAGTACCCATTAAAAGCTTTACGATCAAAACTATTGATCCTTTGAAATCTTTAATTACTCTGAGGGGACTAAACTGTAAAGCTTAATAAAGTAAATCTATATGGCTGAGAGGAATTAATGGCTGCTCATATAAAATACCATCAGTACTGACTGATAAATTCACCCATGTTGGCATTATTAAAAATGAGTGGCATCATCACTTTGGAAACCAACAGAGAGGTGGGAAGAGAGAGATGGAAAGCAACAGAGAGGTGGCTTGGTTCGGAGTTCAGACACCGACTCATTGTAGTGTGTGCTTCTCCTCATATTGTATGCTGCCTGTTTAACTGACTTCAAAACTTAAAATTTAAGACATGACATCAAACTTTGACAACAATCTTGCACTGCTAGCAAATGAGATTATTTTTTCCTCAAAACATAGTAAGTCTATTCAATATTTATATTTCTAGAGAAAATGAAGATGATTATTTGATCATCACAAAAAAATGAGTAATCTCAAGAAAAGTTGGATTATTGAAACCGTAATATTAATCCACAACATTTGTCATAACCTTCATGAAAATAAAGTGTGGCAAGATAGTAATTCTTTCTAATATACTTTTGCATAACAATGTGCAAATGCAGGAAGTTAACCGCAGTTTTTTTCTCACAGTATTGTTAATTCAACAATACTATACAATTATATAGTAGATTACATACAAGTTTCCCAAATAAATCAATTAGGACCACATTCTAGAGAACCTGTCTCTGGCAAAATCTCCCAATGCGACACAAAACTACACAGGTGACTTTCTGCCACGTGGCAGTTTTTAACAACTATGGCATATCTAGTTTCAAAAGTAATGAATGCCTCATTAGCTACCTCTACAAAGACAACAATTTGAGAACGACTGACTTGTCTCCACTAACCACTATTCCCATTCTCTTACCTGTTATCAAGGCAGAGTGATAATATCCACAGGATACAGAGGAAACAGGTTTTCCAACATCCACTTGACAAGGGACACTGACACAGGCTTCATCAGCCAAGCCAATCTGACCTTCCGAATTGTCACCCCACACAAAAAGCTGCCCATCCTCTAAAATGTAGACACAGATAGTTAACAGATTTAAAACCAAAACTAATAAAAAGTTAATCTACCCATTTAAGAGCATTTCATAAAGTCTGTGTATGATACTACTAAATGTCATGATCTCAGGGACATAAAATGGTATTTAGCACAAGGCGACAAAACAGTCTGAAGTAAGAGGGTATCCCTTACGCTTTTCAAAAGTGACACAGAATACTTAGTCATCAACTGATGTTAGACCATAAATAGCAACAGCAAAAGTACTATGTAAAAACATTCCTTCAAAAAGAGGAAGATTGAGCATATAAGACAATTCAGTTGCTAGAGGTCAGCATGAAAATATTATGGTGAATTTAAGGCATCTTCTCATTTCTAGGAGCAAGTCACCACTTTCTCGTTCTTCCAAACTTATTCTTTGTTCTGACTTTGGTACACATCCCACTTATTCGTGCCTTATCTTTCAGTTCTCTTCACAGGTGATTATATTGCCCAGCTTCATTTTGTTTTCCTTAAACTACCACAATAGCTGTTCCAGTTTTATTAAGACCAGCCTCTGTTGATACAAAGACTAATGGCAGCAGTAAAAAACAAAAAAAGGTAGCAAACAACATGAAAAATCTCTAGATCTTTCTAGAAGAGATGAAGTCTTCTCTCTGCATATTTCTTATTGGTGAGAAGTAAGTTGTGAATAAAAAAACGTACCATCTACAGTGCTACTGAGGTGCTGTTGGGAACTAAAATCATTCAAAGTTGACCTACAGATCTCAGGAGAATGTTAGCAATTGTCATAAAAAAATACAAACCAAACGAGCAGGCTAGCATCTCTTTCATATACTCTTATGCTCTCTGTCACATTCTGAAATGACAGCCTCAATAACTTATCCTAGACATGTACAGAAACAGCTGCTTTATATCAAAACTTGAGAAATTACATTATAGGGTAATAAAGGATCGCCCATCCAATGGCTGAAAGCATTATAACTGTGTGGACTTTCACATGTCGCAGTTGTATAATTTTGCCATCAGAGAAACAGGTCATCGGTTAGGCCTCTCAGAATTGGTAATGACAGAGCTGTGTAGCCTGTATCAGTAGACCAAAACAGTTGCAGTAAGAAGTTGAATTAGAGAAACTTAGTTTTTATAAGATTCATGTTTTGTAGCTGGCTTCCCTGGAAATGAACTGAAGATTTTTCCTATTTTGAGGATATTCATACTGCCTCTCCTTTGTAAGGATTCCTACTAAACTAGTACAGGTTGAGCTCCCATTGCAGGCCATCACTCATGGAAAAGGTCTACTTCCACAAAAATTGTAGGAAGTTAATGAGACTGTCATCCCTTACCAGATTGTGTTGAAATAGGTAATTGGCTATCAAAAAATGGGTTATGGTTAGTAGAGAAAGAAGACAGGGAGGCATAGAAAATACACCCACATATGCAGACAGAATGCTGGAAGAAACGTTTCCCTGGAATACCAGGCTGGACGGACATAAATAGATTTTATCAGCGGTTGCTCTTACCAGTTACTGCTGCTGAGGTGTATGATCCAGCTGCTAGCTGTTTGATCTTGTGCTGGTTGGTAAAAAAACTAATTAAATGAAATGTGGTCCTTTCCTCTGTGTCACCTAATCCCAACTGACCTTCACTGTTACCTCCAGCAGCATACACATTTCCTTTTTCTGCATACAGAAAAGCACATGTAATACACAGAATGAAGACATTCTCATCAGTTGTAAAAAGTCAGAGAAACTGGAGCAAGTAATTTAATTTTTGCTGGAAAAACATTACAGAAAAGTTGGGGTCTACTGCCCTGAAATATGCTCGAGTTGACATTAGCAGTTTCTGTTGTAGCTAGCAAGGAGGCTTCCCTGCACACGCTTCGATTAGAACTTCCTAAAGGCCTTACATGTACTTAGACTGACTGAGTTTCCCACCATTCTGGAGACTGATCTAAAAAGTAAATATAATTTGAAGTTCTGCAAGAGTTCTGCGAAAATGACTACTAGTAGCCCTGGCAGCCAGAAGCGGCTCCTTCCCCAAATAATGTATATTATAAGATAAACCAGGAGGAAAATGGTGAGTGATGTCACAGGCAAGAAAACTGAAGTTGGATTAGTACGTACATTAAAGAGATGCATAACGTGATAGTTTTGAGTACTGTGAATGAAATATATTTTTATTTAGGTTTTTATTAGAAATATTTTACTCATTTTAATATTTAAATCACTTTTGATTTAATTAAGTAAGTCTTTATTTTGTTTTAGAATCTTAAAATTGAAGTTAAGGTGATGATTGATATCTTCAACTTAAGAGAACTTTAAGATTTATATTTTTAATTTTAGTATGTTTCACATCTAAAGTGCTCATCTATGATGAAAAAGATAAGGCCCATTAATAACACAAATCCAGACACAAATGTGGTAAGCAACTGACGTACAATTTATAAATGGTCCTTGCTATATAAGTGGCCACAAATTATCTAGCCAGCGTGTACACTAAAAGTGACTAATATTTACCCTATGCAGTCTTGCATACTCAACTGTTATTAAAATGTTCTGCTTTATTCTAATAGTCTTATTTACAGTGCTCAGGGTCTCCACATATATAAACCTCCTAATAATCAAACAACTCTTTATAACATTACTGCAAGCTAAAGGATTGCAACCACAAAGATGGCTATTCCATTACATAAATTTTAGAAGCATGACAAGAATTTGCATCAATTCTCTGTATACTGTCTCTCTAAAATTTTATTTTTTAGTTTAAATTTACAGTTTATTTATTTATAGCTTAATAAAGCAACTTGTCATTGAAATAGCAAACTACTTTGTCTAACCAAAATGCAACAAAATTTGAAGACTTGAAAACATTCAGTTCTACTATATTTACTCAAATATATAACTTCACACTAATAAAGATAAATTACTTGTCAAAGGTAAATTTGAGTACAGATACATAAAAAATACTAATATACCCTTACAGGGCTTAAATGAAATATTGATAATTGTTAACCACACCTCAGACGCCAGCAAGAAATTTTTTCATCTGTCTATTGCTAGCAAACTCCTATATAACATTATTTTATAAATGCATTGGCTCAGAATAAATCAAACATTCAAAGAACTGGATATCAAAACCCCAAGCTTTAACAGTCCTATTTTTGTTTATTTTTCCTTCCTCAACACTCCTGGGGTTCCTAATGTAATTTTGCATGAAGGCAAAGGAAGAAATCTATCTTTAATATGTATATAATATAGGTTACATACCTGTGTAAACTAAAGTGTGGTTTCTTCCACAAACAGCAAGTTTTGTTTTTTCTGGTTTTAAAGCTATGAATTAAAGCCAAAGGGAGGGGGAAGAGTTACAAACAAGCTGATAGCTGGTTCAACAACAAAATGTTCTATGCTCTAAAGGGAGCTCTGATTTTTTTCATATTTTTACCAACAGAATGATCACAAGATTCATTGCCCATTTGAACCTAGCACATGACTTATTAAATCAGGATTCCCCCAAGACAAGAAAACAGATATAGACCTTAAAAACTTATAGCTGACACTCAGGTTAACTTGATGATGGCTACTTCATCCCAATGCCACATTCCCCAGAATTTACCATTTATGGGATATGCCTCAAATAATATAACAAGTTGCAGGACAAAATGCATGTTTAAAGCTGTCTTCAGTTTTCATTAACAGTACTATTCTTAACTCCCTCTTATGCTTTTCCCACCATCTTAAATCTTTAAAATCATACTGTTCATTTGTCTTATCATCCCTGTCTTCCTTTGTTATGCACAGCTACCTTTTTTGCTAGACTTTTGCTCTGCACTGCCCTCATTGATCACTAAACTCAATTGCTAAAGACAGTCCTATCTGGACTAGTGCCTAAAGTTTTTGCATATACCATCCTGTCTCAATTTCGGCTCAATTGCCACCCACCCACTGCATGTACTTCTCTGCAGTCTGGTCACTGTGAAAGACTGGGAATGTATGTGAGAGAAGTCAAGAGTTATTTTGGTGAGGAAGAGAGAATACAGAGGTGCCTTCTCTCCCATGGCAAGCGCACTCTATTTCAGAAACAGAGGAAAAAAATCTCACCGACTTTTCCATCCTCTCTCCAATTACGGATCATTGCGAACAATTTGTCCTCTCTCAGCCATATCCATGTGTCCTACATAATGCTCTTAAGCCAGCATTATTCTACATAACATATCTTTAATTGCTTTTCCACCGCACTAGTCCATGGCAAAGCCAACAACCACCATCCCTTTCACAAACCCCTTTTCAGTCCTTCCAAATCAACTTTCTTCAGCTCCATAACATTCAGATTAAAGTCCCTTCTACGTTCTACCAAGTCATCGAATAAATCTATCTACTTAAGCATGAACTGTCTCTGGTCTATCACACAGACACAAACATAAATTGTCCAAATTCAGGTTCCTGCCTATCCTGTCTGACACCCACCACTACCACCAGGCTGGAACCATAACACTTCCAATGTTGGCTTCTTCCTGCTGCTTTATATCCCAAAACTGCCTCCAACTTCAGAGATTATCTTAATCAGCCCTTCAGAAGTCTGTGCTCCCCAACCTTCCTCCCACTTAGGCTAATCGATTGTGTTTGATGAGCCATGCTATACTTACAACATTGCTGGCAATTTTTCATAACCAATTTCATTAGTCTCTAGTAAAGTCCCAGAAGATAATTTTCTCAGAAAACACGCAGCCACAACCATTTGGCCCCAAGCAGAAACTGAAATGTGTCCTTGCAACCCCATTCCCAAAGCCAAGTGAGGACTGAAAGCTAGTGAGAAAAGCTCCAGGACTTTCTCCTGCTGCCTACTGCCAAGAGAAGAAAGATACCCCTCTTGTGACTTTTTTCAATGGATGCCAGGTCTGGTTTGAATTGCTGTCATCTTTTCTTCGTCTTTTATCCTCCATTGCAATTTGACAGTAAAACCAAAACTTGACACCCAATCCATTTAAGCCAAGGTAAGAATCAACCTCTCACACGGCTGACAGAAGATGTGAACCTGAGGGTAGCTGCATTCTCCCTCTGAAGTGAAACAGAGAGGAGCAGATAAAGGACAGCAGAATAAACTAAATCAGGAAGAAAAGAGTTTGAATAAGCAGGATAATTTGTTTTTAACAATAAGCTAACAGATTGATCTGCTGGCAGAAAGGATGTGGATAAACATTTAATGGTGAAAAGAAATGTGTTAATGGGATAGATCTGACTTGACATAAGTAAGGGGAGAGGGAAAAAGTATTGACTTAGTTTTGTTTGACAAGATAAAACTGGCTAGGAAAGATCAAGAAGATAACAGTGCAATGAAAACATACTTTACAACACATGAAAGAATATCAGCATTTTATTTTACTGCTTCATAAAAATATATTAACATTTATGCCCGCTCAGGTACTTCTTATACTTGCTAAAAATGTAGCAGTACTTGTAGAAAGTTCCTGAGAGATTTTTTCATTTATAAAGTTGCTAAGACAAAAGTGATACAAAGGTTACACAATGCTGTTGGAACTCTGATTTCTAACACACAAACAACACTGCAGAGACCAAGCATCTGATTAATGTCTTTGCAGTCACAATGATGATGTGGTTTGTCAGAAAAGGCAAATATTACATAAAATGAGAGCCCTCAAAAAAGACAGGATTCTATATATCTTAAGTAATCTTCAGATGCAAAAGGACCCAGAATCTGGAACTGATGGAAAATCAATCAGGGATCCTTTTAAGCTACCTTTATGAGCTTGTGCAGTAATATGCTACACATGATGAGTAAAGAAGGCAGAATCATGTTATTTTGGAACTGCAACTTATAAAGTACCTTTTCACAAGGGTCTCCTTTCAAAAAGACAAGAAAAGAAAAATTAAACAAACCTTTAACACATGTTGGTTTGCTGACAGTGTTCTTTGATCCTAGTCCTAATTGGCCCCAGTTGTTACTGCCGAACATGTATAGTTTACCATTCCCTGAAAAAAAATGCACAGTCAGAATCCATACAAGTGTTTGAATACCTCATCCAAGACAAGATGGTCATTCACACACTATGCTATTTATTACTTCCTTTTTAATGTAAGATTTAAGATTAGGCAATTCAATACTTAAGCGTGAACAATAATTAATGTCCTTGTGATTTTGCAGTACAAAAGTAGTAATTGCATTGTTTAAGTAAGAAATCCCCATCCAGAAGGGACAAAAAGCAGTACAAACATCCTCTCCTTTAATTACAGCACAGATAAAGTGCTCTTCAGAAAATAAAATGTTGTACTCTTGGACAGATCCTGCAGTTCGGAAACCACAGTATCTATAGGCCTACTTATAAAATAACATCACATTCAGCTGAGCACTCACATCTTTTACCCCAAAACCAGGAGTGAATAACGCAGCTATATAATTAATACAAACACAAATTTGTAATATTTAGCTTATTTTATTTTTTTGGAGGGGCTATTTCTTTTACTGCTAAATACCTTCTCTTAAAATAATTTACAAATTTGCACTTCTATAGAACATAGTTTCTGATAAATTTTCAAATATGTTCACAAACTGTACTAATTTGTTACTCTGCATATAAAGAAGGAATGCATAAAACCACCATACAGTCAGGGAGTTTCGTAAACCTAAATGCAAGCATTAGATTACAAATCTTCAACAGAGCAATGCTAGAATTGTATTTCAGAAACCGGTATGACGTGTCATTGAACTTGCAGGTTTGACCATTACAAACAATGAACTGTTGTAATTCCAAATAACCCGTGTTTTTTTAAGAGGATGGTATATGAACAGATTAAACTTTCATCATCAGACATGCAAATTAGACAGCCAAAACTGACTACTGACAATACCTTAAAATGAATTCATTTCGTTTCATTAACTTTTTAAACTATTACCTTTTGTAAAGCTGTGAAGTTCACACCCCAAGATAAAACCCTTGTTCCAACAGAAATCTTTGCAAAACAATAGAAGCTGATTTGTCAAAAAAAAAGCACTTTTACAACTGTTAAAAGGAGTGTTACTTTTGATGAAGGTCTGCAGAGCTTTGTGAGTTAGACTTCATCACAAGGCTGTCATGTAAATAAACTTTGTCACCCTAGCCATCAACAATTATCACATGATTGCAACACATAACAGCAATTCCACAATATAATGCCAAAATATTATGGCCTACACTTCAGTAGTGTAGGTTCCCAGTGAAGGTTCTGAATGTGATTTACAGAGACTTCGAAATATGATATTGAACTGTTTAAAATACAACAAAAATACTTACTCTGTTTAAAAAAAAATCCATTTCTTTTCTTAAATAACCACACAGTTCAAAATACCCCAAACGACCAACAACTAACAATAACTCGTATCTAAAGTCCCAATCAAATTGTTAGATTTGACAATTTTTGGAGCACGGAGCTATGCATCAATACTATGCCTTTCCAAGAAAGTTGGAAGGGAAGAAAGTCTGAGGTCAAGTCTACGCTCATGGTGTTTTACTAATAGCATTTATATCACCATCCCGATTTTGATAATGCAATCACGTCAAAACACGTGCAGAGCTGTCTGTCACTGAGAGCAAAATACACCTTAACAGAAAGAATTTTTATTAGCAAATGGCATCCTATATTGGTATATGCTTCCTTGTATCCTTGGTTTATACTTTTTAACTGCCTTTATAAGAGAGTAGTACTCCTGTGGGAATATGATGCCAAGCTGCAGTAATTCAATTTAAGCACATTCTCTTTTATCCATTCAAAATTCCAACAGGTCATGCTTAATGACATAATCTGCTGTTTCTTATACCAGTCTTTAAATTCTCAGGCATTGCTTTGTAAGTCAAGGAGCTTAATAGATGAGAGGAATTTTTTTACATTCTTTTACAACTGAGTGACAGCCTTTTATAGTTTCAGGCTTCCAACACTTAGCGGTGTCACAGAAAATAAGAAAACTGGGAAGCAGGTAATTCAGACAGTGAATGAAAACTAACAGGCACTACAGAGGAACCTAAGCAAATGCCTGTAGTGAAGCAACATTTCTGGGTCTGTACAGCAAATTGGGTTTTGAAACAGACATGATGCAATCTAAGCTGGCCAGGAAACATGACAGAATTTTGTATGCAAAAGGCTCTATCTTCATAATTGCAACCTGAGATTTCTCCAGTCATCACCACAGATGCACTGAAGTGAGAACTAATTCGACAGCAGATAAATAGGCAAGGATCATATTTCAAAACTTTGCAAACTCAGATTGCTCTTGTCTTTCTGCTTCCACTTTGCTGCTGCCATACAGAGATTGTGACCATCTGTCACCTGGAATGGCTGGCAGAAGACAGGTCCAGCAGAGTAAGACTACGACTCTGGGCAGCATAAGGGGAACAACAGGATATAAAGAAAGAGACTACTAGGACTGTTTTGGTGATGAAAACATACTTGCAACACCAGTCTCCACGTTCACCCTCACACAAGACTGGAGTATTTCCCCAAAGTACATATGCATTGGCTTATCACCAGCAGACGTTTCACCAACATTAATTCAGGGCTATTAGGGAAGCCACAAGATCCTTGTATCTTTAGGAACAGAGGATTTTGTGAGACACTTCAGGAAGAGAGTATCTCCTAACCAGTACATTTCTCATATGAGTAGTTGCTATCACAACTGTGATTCCTGGGAACCCCATCTGTCATGTGCTCCCCTGGTTCATGAAGCAGTACTAAAGGCATTCATTCAACAGCTGGGAAATGCCAGCTGAAATCCTCAACATGCTTCATGAGAATAGCAGGCAGCCAAGTATTCCTATCGCCTATGCTTAAAGGTATGTTCTACATATTCCCCCCTTCGCTTTCTAAATTATATTAGTGTGGGAGAAAAATAAAATGGGGAGACAATGTACAGACTTTGAGCATTTCTTACAAGATTCTATTGAGAAGCTATATCTGAAGAAAACTTCAAAGGTATTATTTTGGACAGAGTATCATATGCCAGGCACCATGATTTTTTTATTTATTTTTGCTATTTTGTGAATAAGCTATGTTAACAGATCACTTCAAATTCATACACAATTCAAATACATCTCATGAAAATGGGAATGACATCAGTTTTGTTAGGCAAGTCACAATATTCTCAAAATAAAAGTTTTATTGAGCAATAAGAACAGGCATGCTTAGGACTTTTAGCATCACACAAACAAAAACAGCACAGTAGGTTGCCTGCATACACATATCAAAGATCAACATAAATATGTACTAATCTTTCTCATTTTCCCCTTGCAGCCGATGTAAAAGACACTGTGCCATGTTCTGATAGCCTGCTGGTAGGCAGAAAGAATAGAAGGAATCTGGTGTCCAATGACCTGGAGAGATTCCAAGGTCTCTTCGATGTAAATTGTTGAACGCTTAATGCCTTACAAAACTCGAAATTATGAGCATACTATCTTGCTGTGGTTCCATATGCATCTCTTTTCACTCCTACTTTTACACTTGATAACTTCTTTCTTTCCTTCTACCCTCTTGCATTGTGGGCTTCAATTATCTCCAGAGCTGCATTCAGAAAATGTGTCTTCCGTCATCACTGTTTTCCCCCATGTGAACAGGATCAGCCTCTTTGATCAAATGTGGGCAAGCTGCCTAGGATATTCTAATCAAGGCAAATAAACAAGTAAGACAACTGTTAACTTTAAGAGTTTTGTAGAGAAGAAAATTAATAGAAAGGTATTGGGAGGAGATTCTTAAAAATATGCGTAATGTCACTTATTTCACACCAGCTCCCAACGGGATGAATAAATTGCTTTCCAAAGCCTGCAATTATAAAAGATGCAGGGAGTGGACTGTCAGTATTCTTGGGCCAAAAAATATAGAAATGGGGCAAGAAACATTATTAAGTATATTACAAGTGATGCTGGAAGATATACTGCTCGTTACTGCATTAAAGAACTAAAGACGACAACTGCTTAAAAGAATTCCTGCTTGAACATTTTAATGAAGATTGTGCTAAAGGTAGAGAGCAAATGAATAAAGAAACACAAATTTCAATCGCAAACTCCAAAACTGGAGGAGGAAATGTTTCTCCGACTAGCTCAGCAAGCCAGCTCAAAGTCAACAAGTAACTATCACTGGTCCTTTCTATTCCAACATACAGCCACAGAATGTAAATAAAATTTTGACTCTAACTCCTAACTTAGAAAGCCAAAGAAAAGAGTGTTTTATATCTACTTTACACTTTTCTTCCTAAAAGTCACATGGGAATATTGATGCTGGATTAGATTAAAGAAGTATTTGAAAATTTCTGAATATTTTGTTTGAATGCTAAATATTAGTTCCTGCACATTTTCTTCATTTTCATTCAGTCAAGATTCAGTGCTAGATGTAGCTGTCTCTCCTGCCCAAAATCAGCTTTAAGGAATGTTTTGTATCAGTTTGGGTGATTGTTTTACTTATGATTGTTGAGACATGTTAGTGTAAAATTGATATATTTCTATCAGATTTGAATCTACCTCATATTCCCACTGCCCCCTACATACATAGGTCCCACTACCTCTTTCAGGGGGTGGAAAAAAAAGGAGGGGGGAATTTTGTGACCTGTAAACAAAGACTGAAAATAAAATGAAGCATGCATTAGCACACACCTGCTTGAGATACATTTCCTTCCTCAGTGATGTTTGTCTTTTATCTCTTCCAGGTCAGGTTCAGCTGGATTTCAAGAAGCTCCTGGTTTCCCGCAAGGTCTGTACCCTTCTCAGTAAACTCATTATCGGCATGCACTTCTGGAGCTTTTATTCCAGGTGTTACTGCAGTTCAATGTCATTCACCAAGGGCTGTAATTCCAGTGTATCATCCAACTCCATCTAACAGCAGAAATGTGCAGTGCACAGGGGCATGCACAGGTGTGAAGAACAAATGAGGGACAAAGATTTTTTGTTTCCCTTCTTCACTTTTTTGGTACAACTCTTGTGGTTTCTCTACCTTTGCTCATTGTTGATGAGTATTTTACCCTCACTTTTGCCTTTACTTTACAATGTCCCAAAAAACCTTTTGGTACCAAAGAAATCTTGTACTCATGCTTCTACAGTTCCTTCTCCTCAAAAGCTTTGCAAAAATAAAGATCTGATTATCTAGAAGCTTCCTCGGTGATGTATCCGCACACTACAACAGCAAAAGCCAGCTAGAGACATTTCTGAAACATTTCCTGTATATATTAAAATAACAGGGAGAAGGGGAGATAGAAGAGAAACAGTGCTGCATGCAAACTTATGCAAGTTGACTTCTTCAAAAGCTTTATCTAAGTGGCCACTATTACAGTGACAAGGGAATTAGGGGATTGTTGCTGATTAGGGTAACAGTGCTGGCACATGCACATGCTGGGGGAACTCAAGGAGGCAATTTAAATTGACTAGTCTAAACTGAGAATTATACTAGTGTTATTTCAAACTGGGTGTGGGCATATGAAAGGATATATAAAAAAAAAATTTCAAGAGGAAAATTTCACACTGCCCCAGGTTACATTCTGATTAATTTTATGCAACAGGCAATTTAATAAAACTGATTCAATCCAAGAAAAAGTGTCAAGTTTTGTTCAAAACACAAACTATCCATGGATAATTCATCTTCTATGAAGTTAGGCTTGAAAAATTCATCATATAATTTCACTTCAAGATGTTCTGCAGTCCTTGAAACCTATACTCTTCTTTTATCATGCCCTAAAAATCCAGCATCTTCAACTTTGCTTGGGGACATAGCAAGAAACCCTCAAGAAATTATTTAATGAGCAATGACCAATTGGGCATTGATGAGGAGCAAATACATTCCAATAAAAAAATCCTGAAAACATGCATCTAAATTTCATAACAACAAAGTCTTATTATCTATCAGCAGTTGATTATCAATACAATCAACACATGCTCATCAACAAAAGAGTAGTCCCGTCCACATAAAATAAATTGAACAAGTTCTTCAATGAGTATTGCTTCCACCATTTCAAAGAAATGAAAATGAACATTAATACTGCTCCCTGTATTGCATGTGAGCTTCTCTGAATGCTTTTGCAATTTATTTCTGATTTTAGTAGGATTTTCTGAAGTTTTTTGAGTTGCTCTTTCAAGGGTCATTTTCAGTTGACAGTTAACAGTAGTTCAAATCTAAATTTCAGAGATAAAATTTTATCTATTGATTAAGGCAGACTCCTAGTGAACTTGTTGACTGTGTTCAACAGATACTGTTTACTTCCATGACAGAAACCTCTGTATTTAAGATTGTGTACTAAATACTGTCAGATTCACAGGAAACATTCAAGCTGAACAAACTCATGCTTACTTTAAATCCAGTGTGATACATTCAGTTATTATTGATTCACTCATGACAGTTCTTGGGCATGTCTTGTGAAAACCTTCAGTGACCTCACACTTAATTCAAAGGTATCTGATAGCCCCCACAGAAGAGTATCCTCTCTTCTCCACAACCCCATTTGATATATTACCTCAGGATTCAAATAAGAATCATAACTTTCCAAGCTGTCCAAATATATAACCTTTTACCACATACTCCATTTCCAATACTGACCTGTAACAATAGCAGTATGTTCATCTCCACATGATATATGTACAGGCTTATCATTTTTGAACCAGAACTTGCTAGGAATATCTTCTGCAAATTTGCTTCTTCCAAATGTGAAAACAGCACCTGATTCTAAAACACAAAAAGACAATGTAAATTTTAGCGAAAAAAAATTTTGCGTCATACATTTTGAGATAGTAATTTCCTATTAATTCAATCACACGTTTTAATTTCCCATTTTTTTGTTTTGTTTTGTTTTTTTTTTTTTAAATGGCTGAAGCATTTTCTTCTGTTCTGTTTCACAAAGACGACTTCATTTTCAGGTTCACATTTTAGATTCTTCTTAGTCTCCATGAATTTCACAACACAATATTGTTGCTGGTATATTGTGCTCTGAGGATACTGTATTGGGTTTGTGTGGCAAGGTTTTGGTAGTGGGGGGCTACAGGGGTGGCTTCTGTGAGAAGCTGCTAGAAGCTTCCCTTATGTCCAATAGAGCCAATGCCAGCCGGCTCCAAGGACCCACCACTGCCCAAAGCTGAGCCCATCAGCGATGCTGGTGGGGCCTCTGTGATAACA